TGGGGTGAGGGGGGTGGGGGGAGGGTCAGGTAAATTTTATTATCGAATGATCAAAATTCTCCAAATATATTTAAAATAAAACACTTTTATCCAATGAAGTTGTATGCACAGAAACTCCCCCCACCCCCCTTCCCCAACATTGTTGGAGAAACTAAACCGCGAATCATCACGCCTTGATAACGTTTACAAAGGGAACAAAACTCAAAATTGTTTGGGGGGAGTAGGGAATACGATTTTATTTCATTGTACCAAATTTTTAATCGACATTGTCTGGGAGAGATAGGATATGATTTTAGCAGTATTGTGTTAGTATGTGTAATCAGATGGCGACGAGTGAAATTAAGAAATAATTTCACGCGCGTTTTGTCAAAATTCTGATAATTTCCCTCGCCTAATCAAATGGCGACGAGTGGAATTAGGAAATTATTTTACGCGCGTTTTGTCAAAATTCCGATAATTTCTCTCGCCTAATCAAATGGCGACGAGTGAAATTAGGAACTAATTTCTCGAGAAAACCATTTGATTACCTTAGTCGGTGACAAATTACGTTCAAAACTGTAATTGTTTTTACTGGTTTATTCTATCGAAAACCGAGAACATGAAGAAGAATATAGTTTTCGTGTAAAGCATACATTATTGTTAAAGTTCGTAATTTTCTGAGTTTCTTCACAAAAGATACCTTTCGAATTCTTCGTGCCTGTTAATAATTTTCGGCCACTTCTTTTAATTTCGTAACTTCCTCAAGGGTCACCGTCTTAAATCTGGACGCCATCTTGGCTCTGATCGAGATACAGGAGATTTTACCATAGCAATTTTGTAATTTCACATGTGAAACTAAAAATTAACGCTGAAATTTCGTGCCAAAATGAATTCTTTAAAACTCAACAGTTTGGGTGAGGGGAAAGAAGGCTTCGACTTTAAGAAGATCGCGTTGTGTCCCAAGATTTTAAACGTCCATTGCAATCTCCCAGAAAGTGTGCGCGACATGAATATGTGGGAGCGGCGCACGCACGTAAATGATTAACACTGATCCTTTTAACGACACTAATGAGTCAAAATCACGATATTCTTCAAAAAGAAATCCACGGATGCGTCATGATATTTCAAGCTCGTCTTGTCCCAAAAAAGAAACAGGCGCTGAACTTATCGCTGTGTGGTTAAACTTTCGATTATTTTTAGATGGCCTGTCCCCCGGTTATCAATTTTTGTGGGATCGTAATCATTACTGTCACAAGTGTTTGACATGCGCAGAATTTTTGATTTGTTATCACCATAAGGTTCACACTCTTTATGACTTCTATACTTTTGAAGTTAATTTCCTAATGGAGTCGAACATTCTGTTTCGACGTACGGCTAAATTGGTTTTTGCGCTATTTTTGACGTAATAATTAACAATCTTGAAAATCTCTATCGATAGCATGCTTTTCATCTCTAGCAAATGCGCTATGACATGCATGTACGTGAGGTAAACGCCCGCAAAATTAAACCGTTGTTCGCCATCGTATTTGAATATCTGTAGAAGCAGATGAGAATTATTTCCTGATTCAGTCATGAAAGAAACGGCTTGTCATGCATAATTTATCGAGTTTCTCATTACGCATACACGTTCCCAGAATTTTGACTATTTAAAACAGATGGTTCTGGACTTCTCTTGATAGACCGTGCCTTTAAAAGCACGCTTCAGAAAAAGAACTGATCACTGATTGACTCTCACAGAAGAAACTTTCAGTTGCCTTTTTCTAAGACGAAAAATTAAAGCAGACTTTTGTGAAGACTACTGAACGTCACTTTCTAGAAGAGGTTGAAACGCCTAGCCAGTTTTACGATCTGAGGCATTCTGCAAATCGCAAGAAGTCCATCATGTACATAGCTGTTAAATCAAGACTTCTTCACATCTTTCTCCTTCTGGCGATGGCGAACCGAGTTCTACCTATAAACATCAAAATAGGTAAGGAAGACAGCAGTAGATTTCATATTCTTCATGATTACATTGAAGTGAATTACAGTAGAATACACCACTTTTAATCAACCCTAAACATGGATTTGAAGAATATATTTGTTGCTTTTACAATTCGCGTTTAATTGTTGTTGTGAGCCTTCAAGTTATTTTGAAGCTGTAATCAGTGAAAATTGATTAACAGAAACAAGGCGTGCGACCTTCTCGTGAAAAATGCTTGCGAAGATTTTTCTGAGTTTTTTTTGGCGTTGAAGAATTTATGGAGTGAAGCGTTTAAGACCGTTCAAGCAAAAAACAAAGCTGTCGTTTTTTCTTTTTCTTACAACATTGCCCGTTTTTACGAGCCAAGTATCAAGAAAAGAGAGGCAAGTGATTAAAGAAAATGATTTTGTGAAATCAATCATCCGTGTGGCTGAAAATCTGAAGGGGACGAGATGCTGTAAATTCCATGCAGATATCATTCTTTTGCAGTTACAAAGCTATGGCCATACAGGCGAGAAAGAACCCTCAGAGCAGAGAGTTGCATACTCAGTTTGCATCATT